ATGGGAAGATATTTTGACTCTGCCTTCTAGAATATCAGTATGTAACCGTTATAAAGAGATGCAGTATAATATTTTACACAATGTATACATATCTCCATATACATACAGCAGGTACACACCAGGAAGCTCTCCAAATTGTCCTAAATGTAAAACAATTACAGGGACTAGAATTCACTGTTTATGGGAGTGTAAAATTATAGAGACATTCTGGCACGCAGTATGTAAAGAAATTAGCTCCGCTATAGGTCAAACACTTCTCCCTCGTCCAATCACGTGTCTCCTTGGGTCCATACCCAGTCATCTGGATGCTCACAAAGAAATTGTGCAATTTCTATTGATGTTGGCCAGAAAATCAATAATGCTTAAATGGGTTGGTTCTGATGCTCCGTCGATCCAGCTATGGAAAAATTTGCTTTCTGAAGTTATTGTACTAGAAAGATTGAGATATTGTATGAACGGGAAATTTTCTGCTTTTAAGAAAAGATGGGAACGTATTCTTGAACACTTCAAAATTTCAAAATGAAAAAATGAAAAACCAGTAATGTGAATCTGAATGACGTGTATGTATAAATTGGTTATGTTTCTCATGTGACGCTATAATTCATGTACATGCCTCCAATTTTGATTTTGTCTTTTTTTTCTATATCAGTGCTGTATAAGTTTTGTCCTCGTTTTGTTCTTTCCTTTCCTGTTTTTGTATAAATATTCAAAAATACTTAATAAACATAATTCATAAAAAAAAATAAAAAAAAAGAATTCAGCTAATTCAAACCAACTAAGTCTATTTGAGATGAGAAGCAATGAGGAGAGCTGCATTTATCCTGATAGTTAGTGCTTTCAGACTCACATTTTGCCAAACTTTTAACATAAAAAGCTACTAAAACTGCTGGAATATAAACGATAAACCATCAGAATATTTGTACATCAATAGGTCCTTAACCTTTCACCAAAAGATGATAAAAATACAGAAAAATCTCAAACATCACCTCAAAATATCCCCCCCCAGCCTCAGTTTCTCTGCTGAATTCAGGGACTTTAAAGTGTTCAACAGGAGGAACCAGATCCTGCTGATGAGTCAGCCAGAGAGAGGACATCAGACCGAGGCGATCTGGTGAATAAACGAGCAGAAACCCGAGCAGACTGCAGAGCCACACCGGAAACGAACGGATCCTCTGCAGGTTTACGGTCAGAACACAGATAGCCGGGTGTTTACCGTCTGAGCCGCCCGGTTTTGGGATCCTTATCCCCCAAAAAGCAGCAAAAGTCACCAAAAAAGGTTCAACTTCAGCCTCAAAATGGATGTTTTTCAGTCATTTCTGTTAAAACAGAGTGAAACGAAGCTTTTAAAACAGGGGATAACGGGCTCGTTTCTCCTGGAAAAGCTCCAGTCCTCGTCTGGTTTTGTGTCGTCGGCTGAATGTGGAGCAGAGTTCAGTGAACTCAGTGAACCATCAAAGCCCATCAGGACTCCCATCTCTGGCTCAGATTCCCACAGCAGAACTAAACAGCCGTCACCTCCAGAGGGAAGGGACTCTGAGCTCTGAGCTCCCGTTGGCAGAAAGTGGAAGCTTTCCCCCTTTTCTCCCCCCTGTAGGACTCTGAGTCAGACTTATTTGGGTTTAATTAACACTAAACGGGGCAAATTATCATCATGTTATTCCATAAAATCTGGAATCTGCTCACCTGCAACCGGAAAGAAACAGTTTCTTCCTTATTAACAAGAAAAATTACACATTTTATAGCTTTTCAAAGTATTGGAAATGTAATTGCATAAGAATAGAAACACCACGTGAGCTAAAACTACAGTCCCAAACTTTGGACCCAGTTCAAATCTGAAAAAAGCTTTACTTCAGACTCAGGATTAAAGATGTGCACGTGTGTTTTGGCTATGTGAACTGGACGTCCACAGCCCCCTTTTTCTGCCCCCCCCCCATCGGGATAAAGCTCCTCAGACTGAATGATGTCATCGGGATCCAATCAGACTCAGTAAACACTGATGTCAAATAATGGAGTTTCCTCTGAAGCCTCACAGAGTTCAGAGAACAGAAACAAGTCCTACTAAATGCTCCAGTTAGTCTAAAGGCTCCAGTAAAACCGTTAGTCCACAACAAGTCTGACACCCAGAGACACAAAGTCCAGCTGAGGCCGCAGAAGTGTTGAGAAAAGACACAAAACTGCTGAAAAAAGTACAGCTGAGGACCAGAAAATGATCAGAAATAACACAAAACTGTAATAATTACTAACAAAATGAAAGAAAACTTTGAGGAAAAGACCACAAAAAAGGGACAAAATGATCAAAAACAGACACAAAACATGA